AGAGGTGACTTGGGAAGAACTGGTTGAGAGCCTCAATGTTAGACAGTAATGCATTCCCTGATACAGAAAATCCAAAACAGCTTCAAGTTAGGTGAGACAATAAGGAGTGAATTTAGTTTCAATATGGCCTATGGACAAACCCCAATTAATCATATACAACAAGTCTTTAGGTCTGGAGAAAAAAAACTAGAAATACAAAGTACAAATTGAAAATCTATAAACAGTACATAAACCTTGAGATTAAAACTAATTCATTCAGGGACAGGGGCAACATGAAAACAGGACCATAGGTACAAAGGAACAGGCCAAGGAATGTCAAGGAAGATAACCAAAGGAGCCTGGTGTCACTGAATCGGTGTGTACATAAACTTTTATTTTAAAGTTGCCGCGGAATAAACTAAACATTCTTTTGAGAGATGAAGCTACAAGCTGCACGAGCTACTGTATTCAACTACAGAGCAAGACCTACCTCCACTATGACTTTTGGCAAATCCCAACCACAGGATCCTCATCTTTGCCTTCACTGAGCTATAAAAAATCTAGTCAGTGATAAACTGGAGGCTTTATAAACTTCAAAATATTATAAAGATACCCTTGGTTTATTATTGCAATAACATTACAACTGAGTGTGTAAATTCCATGTAGCAGAGAATAAGCTCCTGAAAACAGGGCCTTCAATCTTCTACATCTTTCTATCAGGCATAGTGCTATGTATTTCATAGATATTTTTAAAACATTTGCGGGGTATCGGGCAGAGTAACATGAGAATGTATGCATGGAACAAGGAGTACATAGCAAAAGGCATAACCAACTTCCTAAAAGGGTTTAGAATTGAAGTGGTCAAATTTTATTCCTTCCACAAATGCAATTAATGACAAACTGATGGGATAAAGGGGATGCCTGATAGTTCTGACTCCTCTAATGTGTGACTTTTTTTTTTTTTTTTTTTTTTTGAGTGCCTTAGAATGGGAAAGGAATTTGCAGAAAAAGCAGTGAACTATAGGACAAGAAAAACAGCCAGCAGCAACTTTTATAAAACTGTTCAACAACTACTGGTCATTAAAGAACATCTCTTTAACTTCTCAAGTTGAAACCTGCAAAATGTAAATCAGGCCTTTGTGAGACAAACTAAAATAGTGTCCCCTCAGGGTGCACAAATACCACAGTGAAGTCACCAGAGCGAGCTACTCCCTGACACAGTCAGAGCCTACCTTGTAAAGATTTTCCTGAAGAAAAAAACTGCTATTCATTTCAGGTTAAATACACTCATCAGAGGACCAAACAGAATAAAATGCTATAACCTTATGTGTCAATCTTTCTAATTTATACACACAAAAGGAAATTCACATATGAAGAATTTTGTTTAATCACAATTCATTCCTAAAGTTTATAAGGAACTTGGAAACTAATCTGGTCTCTGTTAATTTTGAGAGTTCCATAAACTTTGATTTGAGTTGATTTTATAAGCACTCTTTCCTTAACCTAATTGTTTCAAGAAAGAGGGAAAGCTACCTTCCTCCAAGTTCAAGAACCTGTCTGCCAACTTTCTATCCATAATGTTTATCAAATTAATAAAAGGGACTGTTTAATAAGACAAATCCTCAGCTACACTCTTACAATCTTACCCTTGCATCTGATAAAACTTATAACTTATTAATATAAGACATAAATGTCAGACTTCCGAAGAGCAATTGAATGATCCATACAGAATTTAGAAGATTTAGAAGGAAAACAAAATAAGAAAAAAATTACTTTTAGAAAAGGATACCTGGCTGAGCAACTTAACTATATCTGAAGATACTCTGCACCCTGGATTACTGTATATGGAGCTTAAGACCTGATAGCATTCAGAATCAAGGCTGATTTTCCTGGCTTTTGTAAAACAAGTGATGATACTAGTACAATGATCTAATTTGTTCCTGCCAGACATTAAAATAGGTCTCTGCCTCTTCCCAAAGAGGTACCAGTTAAAATGATCATATAATCTGATATGTGTATGCATAAAAAATTTTTCTGAAGGGTTACACAAGAAATCATAAATGGTGGTCTCTGGTTGCTAAGCAACTGGAGACAGACCACATACTGTATTCATTGTTTGAGTATATCATGTCATGTTTCATTTTTATAACAAAAGGTGACTTACGACCAATGCCAAAACATGTGTTTCTTAAAACTACTTAAGTGTGATATAACTAAGCTTATTTTACAGCTTACTGTGTTTAAAGTTCAACATTAAAAGGAGGCTAGCACAGTGGTGGCAAGACCTAGTTCTTTTACACTGCTCACTTGGAGTTTCACATGCTCTGTAAGGGCAGAACACAATATGCATCACTTGTTGAAGGGTATGTGAAATTTGAACTGGGTGGGAGATTTAATAGATGCACAAAACAGTCATGGTACTTGAATTCATGGGAAATAATTAGTTAGCTAGAGCCCAAGGAGTAACTGAAGTTAGGTAGTGAATATGCTGAATACCAAAACACACACTGATAAATAAAGCCTTGCCCACTTGCCACAAATCGTTGATCATAACATTCATGCATACATATGTCCTTGTCATCAAAAAGAAAGTGGGGAGAGAAATGAACATCAACCCCACTACGTACAAATCTCCCTCCCCCTTCCACCTCCTCCATCACACACAATTTCCTCTAGGACATCACTTCTGATCCAAGAACAAGCACAGTAAGTTCTAGTCAACTTTTATATAAACCAACTAAAAAGCTTAAAGTACAAATGATAAAAAATTATATCAAATATTTCAAATAACTTAAGAGTTTTAAATCTATAGTTTTATGAATGCCACTTAGCAAAGATATTACCAACAACTTAAGAATATTACAGCAAAAACAAGTCAAAGCACAAAACATTTTTAGAGTTAAAAAAAAAAAAGAGTCCTAACTAAATGTACTCTGAAGATCTCTTTTGAACTCGTTATATCATCATGATCCAAAGTTAGTATCTATCTGCCCCCCAGCATTAGCAAATTAACTTGAATGATACTCTCTTACTCTACCACATTGTCTCTGCAACAAAGAAGTGAGCATTGAATACTCCATCTACCTCTGCAATCACCTGAAATAAATGTTAGCTGAAGCCTACAACAGATTGACAACCTATTGTTCAGGACTGAACAACACTGAATCTCAGGCATTCAGAAACATCAAGGTAATGCCTTTTCTTTGAAACTTTTTAAATTTGAAAATGGATAATGTAAGAATTCAAGAGTATTCAAAGGTGAACACAGGAACTTTAACAAGCCAAAATTCAAACAAAAGTAATTGGACATAGGGCTGGGGTTGTGGCTCAGCGGTAGAGCATTCGCCTAGCATATGCGAGGTCCTGGGTTTGATCCTCAGCACCACATAAAAATAAATGAAATAAAGGTATTGTGTTCAACTACAAGTAAAAAATAGATATTTTTTAAAAAGTAATTGGATATAAATTACAAAACTAATGTTGGCCAACTTTAAAAACATAACACTTGGGAGAGACAGTTAAGACAGCATCCCTTCAAGATCTTGGGAAACCCTGAGTCTCTTGCAATGCCTTTAGATAAGTACTTTTCCAAGACACCACTGCTTCTATAAATTTCCAATACCTTTAAAAAACTGAACTCAAAGCAGTTTATTTCTTCAACAAGTTGAAAAGCAGGTGCCACATGGATTCATTCATGAACTTATTTCCAAAAAGTTTCATCTTCCCAATGACTCATCTACAAACAAAACCTTAATTACTATAAAGGTGTTAAATACTGCTTTTCTAAAACTTATTCCACTCACAGTAATTTAATTACACTTGTCAAGCACTTTCCCTGTAAGTATTCCTTCTCTGGAATCTTGGTAACTTATGCAAAGTTTAGTGTGCTAGAGATCAGTACAAAGGAAAATACAAAACCATGATCAAAAGAACTATTTGCCTACAAAATGTCCCTTTCAAACATCTCCCAATGATGTTATGAGTCCTATAGAATTACCCTGCTTTGACAGAAGAATGGCTTGGGGCAGTCTGTTCTCAGGAACTTCATCAGTACCAGCTACTGGTAAAATCAAGTCTCGAAATGCAATGAAAAATTGAAGCACTATAAATCAAATGTCAGTTTCACATACATGTTACTCTGTTAAACACAATGAAATTTTTTTTCTGCTTGTTTCTATATCTCGATAATGAAGGAAAAAATTACCAAAATCAAACAGAATTTCTGATACTTTCAAATGATTTTTTCAAATTAATGTCCTTTCTCATCCACAGCCCTGCCATGCAATTTTCTAAACATCCCTTTCCCAATGTCTAAAAAGTTCACTTAGGTGTGTTTCGGCACTTGCTCTGACTCAAAGCAAGAGGGACAAAACTGTTCCCAGCAATTAGTGAGTAGGTCACTTACTTTTGTTTTCTCTCTACCAGGATTAGCAGTGAAATAGCTTCGTGGCTCTTAATTAAGGCTGAACAATAACTTTTAAAAGTGCATTTCTATTTTAATTACATCTACGCAATATAGGCAGTAAAGGTATTTGCTCCTCTCTAATTCCCTTAACAAACAGCAGTCATCTTCAATTCTGGAGAAAAAGCCATATTTAAACTTTTTAAAGGCAAAAGGTGGATCTTCCTTTCTCTGATCCAAGCATTCAACCATGCCTTCAGATGGCCCGGCTAGTACAGCTAAAAGGAGGATGGGTGTTTTTGATTAAAGCTTCAGAAAAAAAGGGACCACAATCCTAACTGCTGAAATGGCAAAGAATTCCTTGAAGAAGCAAGAATCCCTTTAAGTTAGAAATAATAGGAAAGCAAAGAGACGCAGCTGAGAGCATCTTGGCCCTCACCGGATGTTAAGGGATAGATCAATTATAGAAGTTGGAGAAAGGAATTTGTGTGGTCCCCTCTGGGGAGCAGAGAGCCAGCACGCGGCGTTTGGGCCCCTCAAGCTGGACCAGGGAGTGGAGACGGCCCGGGTGCAGAGTTGTTAGCGAGCAGTAGTAAGGGACAGGGCTGTCACCGCTTACCCAGGTGCAGCGTGAGGTTGATGGAGTTGGGGTACTGGACCCCGGCCAGCATGGTCTGGCTTTGCCACCAGGTGGTGTCGGCCTGGTTGTTGTAGTCGGTCAGGAAGGCTGCCCCGTGCTGCAGGTGGGGCTGCCCGGCGTCGCACAGGTGACAGGACTTGGTGACCCCGGTCACCCCGGTCTGCACACAGTACTCCTCGGGCGGAGTCCCACACGTGTTGGTGGCCACCACGGTCACGTTGAAGGCGGCGTTGACGAACTCAGGCATGCAGCGCTGCGGCCGCCCGCCCTCGTCCGTGCACTCGTCCATGGCTGCCCCGGCACAGCCCGCCGCGGCTGCCGCCAGCACAGCCAGCACCGTCCAGAGCCGCCCCCGGCGCCGCAAGGCCAGCGCGGCCCGCTCGCTGCCCCTCATCCCACCGCCCGCGCGTTGGGCCACCGCAAAGGCCAGGGCCGGCGCGTTCCCTTCGCCCAACGGCGTCCCCGGGAGGCCGCTCCGCGGGCTGAGCCTGGGGGGCCCCGAGCCGGACTCTCGCGCGGGCGGAGGCTCGCACCGGAGAGACTGGCGGGTGGGCGCCCCTAGCGAGGACTGTGCGGCTCCCTGGCCACTGCCCCGGCGCACCGCCTCTGCGCCTCCCTCACCCACCCTGGGCGCAGCTCGCACTCTGAGCCGACCCCCGACTTCCGAGCGCGCGCCCCGGGAAGGAAGGAGCAGGGGGTGGGATCGGCCGGGTGGGGTGGGGTCTGGCTGAGGAGAAAGCCCAACCCCGGCCTCCTCTCAGCCCCGCGGCCCCCGTAGCTGCTCCCCCGCCCTCAGCGCGCCAGGGACTGCGCGTCCGCCCAGGCGACTAGCGGCGGCGGCGGGGGCGGTGGCGTCTCGCGCTCAGGCCCGCAGCGCGCGGTCGGCGGGAGGGGCGCGAGGGTGGGCGGGGAGCGGAGAGGGGGGAGGAGGAGGGAGGAAGAGGAGGGAGGGGCGGCGGGGCGGTGCATGCCGGGAGGCAGGGGAGGCCGTGGAGACCCGGCAGCCTGCAGCGGTAGGGCGCGGGGTCCGCGGCTCTGCGTCCTGGGGAGACGCTTGGTTGGGTAGGGAGCGCCTAGGAGGAGCCCTTAAAGGGGTGACGCGGGTCCGTGAGGTCGCTCGGGGTTGGCCTACCGGCCTCATGGCAACTTGGGCCGCGAGCGGCTGGCGATTCCCCGCCCTGCCAGGTGTCAGTCCTCGAGTCCACCGCCCCGAGGCCATGTCCGGAGGGACGCATCAGTAGGGCTGTCTGCATTCCCCAGCTCTCGGGTGCGGTCCCGGGGAATGTCCCCTGCTGCGCGGGACCCTGCTCTAACCCCCTACGAGGAGAGAGAGGTCCCGGGTGTCGAGGGGCCTGACACGGTCCCTGGAGAGTAAAGGGCCTGGTGGCAGCATCAAAATGAGTTTTGTGAAGCGATTTCCTGCCGCTAAATTAAAGTATAACCAGTCGTTTAACCCGAACAAGGAAGGAAGCGAAAAGGCTGGGAATGGAATGACATTTTTCCCCTGGGTGCGCAGACCTACTGCGAAATTCTTCCACTGTGTTGTTTGTGTTCCCCAGCTTGCCTTTAAAAGACTTGAAATTATCTGGATTCTGACATCCTCCTTTTCGGGCCTGCTGAGTCACGGAATATTCTCAGTGCCAGAATGACTCAGTTCGCAGAACCTGAGCCAGAAGATCATGAGTTTTAGTCCCAGATCGGAACCCAGGCACTTACCCAGTGCTGATAGGGCAGGCAAAGAACGGGCAGGGCGGGTACCATAGTTGGACCAGCCAAAGACAGCGGATTTTAAACCCCAAGTGGATGCACCAAATAAAACTTTCCAGGTCCTTAATGACAAAATGACAGTAATACACAGTTTTAGACTCAGCTATCCCCTTAAAATAGGGACACAGGATTTCTGAAACAATAAAATATTAGGTGATTATGATTAGGGTCAGTGCTAGCCCCACACAGTTCCTAATTAGGAGGGTCCTAAGGATAATGATCTATGGGGATGAGGATGAGAGCCAGTTTACATCCAACGCACAATGTTCCTTTTTTTGATGAGACAAATGGAGTTTTGCATGGTTAAATGTCTCTAACTCCTCGCTCCTGGTACCTTCTCTTTGGAAGAAAAAGGGGGGCTAAAAATAATGTTTTAATCTTTCATATTTGAGTTGAAGCAAAATAAATATAGTCATTTCTACCTAGAGAGGATGATATTCTCTCAACGTTCTAAATTTTACTTGAGAACTAACAAGGGCAATATAGGACACAGATAAGGATGTAAGTTGTCAATAAAGCTACAGATTTTAAGAAGTACATTAATAAATATATTAATGCATTTGCCTTATTATAAATTTTCAGTACTTTATTAGATATTGATAGACAATGGATGGATCTCATCTGGTTTTCTACTAATAATCAAAACAGATGAAAGAAGACCCCAAAGGCTGCAAAATCAACCTAAATGTGTTTCCTTGTCACTGCTCTCAATGGCTCTCAATGGGTTCTAATATCCAAAGTTAATTTCAAGCCATTATTTATGCCTGCATGCTCCATAATTTTTTTTTACCAGAATCTCATCTGATATTTGCAAAGCACATAAAGAGACCTTGAGTAACTCTCTAAATTTTATTGTTCATGGGAATGTGTTACAGCAACAAGGAAGTACCTATTTGAAAAAAGGTAAAGTGTAACCAACCAGTATGCTGGATGATAAAAATTCTATTCCATTGCCTGGCCCTGGATTCAAACAAACCAAAGATTTTGTTAATAGAATTGTAAAGACAATTCAGAAAATCTTTACACCAGGTATTTGATGCTATCAACAAATAAAGTATTTGTTGGAACCTGGGGATACCATAGTCAACTAAACACACCTGGTATTTGGGGAAAAAAAGCAATGAGGAAGTGTGAGGGTTTTGTTGTTTGTTTGTTTGTTTACTGTAGTTACCCTGTTTTTTAGAAAATCCCAGAGCCTTTTAACTTAACTGCTTGAAAACTTTTATCTACTATATACTACTTTTATCTACTATATAGATGTGGTGTTCAGAGGAAAAATATGAAGGTGTGGGGAAAATTGGGTTCAGATCCCTCAAAAGATGGTCTTAGTGGCCAATCATCAATGCCTGCATGCCACAGACAGGATGAGGTTATGTGGTTGTTTACAAACAGGAGAGCCCCAGTTTTGTTTTGTTTTGGAATCAATATTTTTTTAATTTTTAAAAATTTGTTCTTTTTAGTTATACATGACAGTAGAATGTGTTTTGATATATACATACATGGAGTAAAACTTCCCATTCTTGTGCTTGTACATGATATGGAGTTATACTGGTAGTGTATTCATTCATGAACATGGGAAAGTTTTGCCTGATTTATTTTACTGCCTTTCCCATTGAGAGCCCCAGTTTTAAAAAAAATAAATTCCATTTAGAACTCCAAAGAAAAGAGACTTCTCTCTATCAGATCTATATGGATTATTTCAAGGAAGGATGCTTATTGGTCTGGCTTTGGTTACCTGCAGATCCCTGAGCATATCCCGCATTAGAATGGCGAATGAGGTATGAGATTGTCAGTCCACCAGAATACTGGGGAAAGCAGTTCAAAGAAAAAGCCGCTGTTGCCAGGAAGGAGCAGGTTACAAGGCAGAAAAAACAACAGATGTCTACTACATCAGGATTCAGAATGCATGATATAATTAGAAAAATTGTTTAAAAGTTTGTAAACCTTTCAAGATTACAACGTTGTCCCTTTTTAATCTTTTGTGTTTACCAATGTGTTTATTTTTCTGTTTTTTAGTCTTTCTGACCTCATTTCCCTATATTCTTCCCAAGCCCAAGCACTAGGATATTATATGCTTCATCTTTCATATTTAGAAATGCAACCTGTAGTTAGCAGTTATTATTAAAAATATAAAATGTTTGCCTATGTTTACATATTATTTTTCACTTTTCAAAATCACACTAAAGCAGGGGATGTTATTGCCTACATTGAGTTTTAGAAACTAAGGTTCCAAGAAATTAGCCTCTGTAGACTAGTGGGAAGCAAAGCCGGACATGAGCCTGCCCTTTCTGGCTGCCTGTCCATAACTATTTCCTTCAGTTGTGTAAAGGTCACTCATGATAGGGGAAAGGGGAAAGAAGAGCTATCATATACTTCCAAGGTTTTTAGGCCATCAAATGGAAATTTAAAATTGGTGAAAATTAGTATAATACTGAAAAGAATTATAATTCCCCTCTTCAAAGTTATGGTAACTACACATGCTACTTTGAGTTGGGTTTATAGATCCTGCCTGAGTCCTTGGTACAAGTCCAAACATAACAAGATAAGATATCTTCTGTAGCCATGCTCAGGTAAAGACAAGATTCCTCTTGCATGAGGTAAAGGTCTTGCTTCCCACTCAGCCCAAGTGCGGGCCATTTTACATTGTGATACTAGTTTTAAAAGAGAGGGGGGAAAAAGGACACCTAATTCATAAGATTTAAAACACAACTTTATTCCAATATACAAATACAATATAAAAAAGAGGTATTTCCAAAAACAAGTAGCAAAACCCACCCCCATCCAAAATCTTCCCATCGAGAGAAGAGAGAACTTTAGTTCTCAGGCATTTTTTTCATTTTATCAACTAAATGTGAACTACATCTCAACTATAGAAAAAAGAGATTATCTTTTATATGCAGAAAATATGATTGTATCGTGGGGACTCAGGATATCTTTAATAAATTCTTGACCCTAATGGTTAGTTGCTGTTAAAAAGAAAAGAATTCTTTTGGGGGAAGGAGGTACTAGGGATTGAGCTCAGGAGTTCACATCCCTAGTCCTTTTTTATTTTTTATTTTGACACAGGATCTCCCAAGTTACCTAGGGCCTTGCTAAATTGCTGAGGCTGACCCCTAATTTGTGATCCTCCTGCCTTAGTGTCACATATTGCAACAGGTTTGTTTTTTGTTTTTTTTTTAAGAATATGCCTGCAAGTTATGTTGTTTCAAAATTAGAAATTCATAGCTCTTTTAGTGATATTCTTTTGGGAGCTGTGGAGGAAGATTATAACACCAGGTTTAAATTTTTTCCTACTGAATTTATTACAGTTCCTGGCAGAACTGTGGCGGGCCCACAGAACTCATGGGCCTACGTCTCTAGTTTATATGCATATTTGAGCAAATGCTAAATTAATTTTCCTCAACCTGTATTTTTATTGTAACAACCAAATTAAATTAAAACAAGATATTTTAATTGTTAAAGCATAATTCTGCTACACTAAAATGACTTTTCATTTATCAGAATTATTCTCCTGGGTTGTAGGTGTAGCTTAGTTGGTAGAGTGCTTGCCTCTTATGCACAAGGCCCTGAGTTCAATCCCCAGTAACTCACACACACACACAAAAAAATCCTCTCCTAACCCAGATAATTCTTTTTTTCCTTTTTTTAATTCTTATTTTATAGTTGTAGGTGGACAGAATGCTTTTATTTTATTTGTGGTGCTAAGGATCGAACCCAGTACCTCACACATGCTAGGCAAGAGCTCTGCCACTGAGCTACAGCCCCAGCCCTTGTTCTTTTGGTACAATAGGCACATCTTATTGAAATATGGTATACATAAAGAAAAATGCACAAAATCAAGATATAGTTTGATAGATGAGATAT